ATAACACTATGTGCTTTCTTAGCAGGACAAGTAATTTTGAATTTAAGAAATGCAGTATTCTCTGTTTTGCCTCCCAGATGAAAGTAATGCTTGAGTCATGTTTCCTTTATAACTGATTTTTTTTTTACCTTTCTTAGTAGCTAGAACAATAGAAAATTTAATCTCATATAAGATACTAATTTTCTAGAAATCAATTGCTTCAGTGACTGTACTGACTTAAGATCCTTAACAATCTCTCATGTGCGAGATGTTATGTTTCAGTTCTATTATCTCTATAGTGATATAAGCAGATTTCTATTATGCTTTTTTCCCCTCTGTGGTTTCAGCTGGGGTAGTTAATTTTCTTCATAGTAGCTATTATGGGGCTATGTTTTGGATTTGTGCTGGAAACAATGTTGATAATTCAGGGATGTTTTCTTTATTGCTGTGCAGGGTTTACACAGAGTTAAGACCTTTTCTGCTTCTCACACCACCCCACCAGCGAGGAGTCTGGGAGTGCACAAGGAGTTGGGAGGAGACACAGCCGGGACAGCTGACCCCAACTGACCAAAGGGATGTCCCATACCGTATGACGTCATGTTCAGCATATAAAGCTGGGGGAGGAAAAGGAGGTGGGGGGATGTTCAGAGTGATAGTATTTGTCTTCCCAAGTAACCATTACGTGTGATGGAGCCCTGCTTTCCCGGAGATGGCTGAACACCTGCCTGCCCATGGGAGGTGGTGAATTAATTCCTTCGTTTGCTTTGCTTACGTGCTTGGCTTTTGCTTTACTTATTAAACTGTTTTCATCGCAACGCATGAGTTTTCTCACTTTTACCTTTCCTATTCTCTCCCCCATCCCACCGGGGGGAGTGAGTGAGCGTCTGTGTGGTGCTTAATTGCTGGCTGGGGTTAAACCACTACACCAGCCTTACCTTTAAAGAAATACAGGCAGTGTACATATTCTTCAGGAATAATGAAAAGGCTGAGATCCTTCAGTTCTGGCTATAAGAAGATTCAGGACCTTGAAGTTAATATTGTATCACATTGTCATTTCTTGATCACACTTGTTTGTATAATAAATATGCTTCAATATCTTGATAATAGAGTTCACTGCATAGATAAAACTATAGAAATATTTAATTACTCTAACAAATAGAAAATGCACTATTTTAACTTGACAGAAAGGGAGCTACTAAAAACATATTTAAGTATTAGATATGCATAACCGGAAGTCATAAATGGCCAAAGAGTACTGTAGACCTTCCTTGTCTTGTCACTAGAATAATTCATGTATATGAATTGCTACATACAGGGATAAAATACGCATAAGTTTCACAGTAACCACCTAGAAGTGAAAGACTTCAATGATGACATGAAAAATTGTTTCAGGTATTTCATAGGAACTGGTTATATGTGCAACCCTCTCAACCTCTGATCAACATAATCCCAATCAACTTGCTTTTGCTCATATGATCTACATTGCCTCTAGATTTTGGATAACAGGGTTTTTCCCTGTTTGTTGTGAGATAAGAGCCCATGAGCAGGTAGCTACCAGCGCTAGCTGATGTGTACTGAGACATACCTTACAAGGCAGTATTTTTGGTACTAGCCCAACAGACTGTCGGTTTGCTGAGACTTGAGATGCTTTATCTTACCCCATGCATACTACTTGTGGGGGGTTTTTTATTTTTCTGAGCAAGAAAACATCTAAGAGCATGAACTTGTCAGTTGTTGTGCCTAAGTAATAAGCATAGTCTAATCACACAGTCTAATAATTATGCAGTTCTTGTTTGACTTGCATCCCTGTTGGTTCAGTGGTATGTCTTTCCCAAAGTACAGGGCTGCAGAATCTTATCTCACTTTCCAACTTTAATCAGATAGTCTTGATCTTTGGTCTTCTCCTCTCTGTCACGGTGACACACACACTTGCAAGCTGTTCTTAAGTAGATCCATACAAAGTTAGGTTTGCCAGATTGAAACAGGATAAACCTTTGAGAAAATTGGTGAATTGTTTCTTAAGTGCTTCAAGCAGTGACAGTTTAAAATCATTTATAAGCACAAAATAGTCCAGTAGGTAAGCTTTCTTACAGGATAAAAAGAGTTCTAATGAGAAGTCATGTATTACAAATGTAAAATATCAACTTTGGACAGGTTGAGATTATTTCACTTCTAATGTTTAATCTAGTAATAGCATGATATTTACCTAAATAAAACATACAGTGGTTATACAGCATTGTCTTTTTTCATAGTAAATACCAGCTAGATAAATATATGAAAGATAAGGGACAACTGGGAAACCTAGGCATGTAACTTACTAGCTTTGATATGGGAAATATGTCTATTTTTAAGGTGATAATGAATATACATGTATATATGTCTAACTTTAAACCAGATTTTTTTTTTTTTATTTTTTTCTTCTAGAGCAGTGATGATTTCCCTATGTTCTACTATGGTCTCCAACTCTATATGTCTAGTTTCTGTCAATTTTAGATGTGAATAAGTAATATCTTGTCAACACAAGATAGAAGTGGAATTGTGCAAATAATTAGATAGTTATGACTACCACATAGCCTTCAAAGCTAACCTTAGTGCTGCCACAACTTCCAAACTGTGTTTAAATAAAATGAAGTCTAATGGAGGAGTAACAGAGAGAAAAGAATTTTCATTATTTGTGCTGCCACTGCAAATAGGAACTTTGGTGTGAGACCAAGACGCCTGTATGTCACATGCCATGCAAAAGCAAAAGTAGTACAATCCCTGCCCCTAGGAATTTAAAGTCCAAATATGAAACTCAAGACAGAACACATAAGCTGAGAAAAATGGGCAAGTACTCGGGAAAACTGAGTTATGTTAGCATGGTTGGCAGTGGTCAAGGCACTTCATCACTGTGGGTAATTAGAAATATCATTACATATACAATGTTATTTCTGATGCATAATGTAAAACACATTTTTTTCTCCAATGAAACTCTCAAGGACATGTGCTGTCAATGTTCTTGACATATATAAAGTCTGAATTAGATGTTTTTTGAGAAGAATAAGGAAAATATCCTATGGTTTATTCTATTTCTATCAAGACTTGTGAACTGTCACAGAAAATGTTAATCTAAAAAAAAAAATAAAACCTCGAAGAAAATTTAAAAATTATACAAAAAATTTGTTCAGTATCCCTTTCTCCAATAAGACTTTTCAATTACTGATACCAGATGTCCAACTAGGATACCACTGCAATGAATAATGGGTAAAAGGCCCAAACTATAAGTTCCTGCTATATAACTGGATAATTTCTCAGAGGCACCTGTGAAAGTTAGGTGTTTAGGTGACTTTTCCTTTATCATCATCTTTGGGTACAGCTAGTCCCAACAAGTACATCATAAGTTTTCTTCCTCACTCTCATATGAAGAATAAAGATATTAGAGTATACAATATTTATCCCTCTTTCTATTGTCACACCTGTGATTCAGAACCTTAATTAGCTTAAATAAAATTAGAAAATCAGGCTGATTATGTAGTTTAAAAAAAAAAAAAAAGACAAATATAGTACTAATCATTTTGAAAACTTACCTCTGTGCCTCTAACTTTCAGTAACCAGAGGCACCAAGTTTACATTAACAGGATATATCTATGAATGTATGGACCTTTCATGTATGATTATACCTTTTGCATACATACACCTCAGATCATCCCAATAGTTAATGAATGCTATAGGCAGATAACTAATACATATTTATTGGCAGAGATGTGGGTAATTTCCTAGTACTGTCTTCATTAGAGAGAGACTAAATAACTTTAGTAATCATGCATGACAAATCTAAAATTATCCCCCAAAATGCAAATATACAGGCAGAAGATTTCTAGAGGTTAAATTGATCAATGAGGACATATTAGAAAAGGCATTAAAGTTGGGGGGAGCAGCATAATGCATTACAACATAATTTTTCCCTACAGAGAATAATTCTGAGTGTGTAATTGTTCAGCAAGCAGGCTTACTGAAGCAAACACAATGCCTTATTAAGGAACAATTAGATGGTATTAAGTAGGTAAATATTCCGTTCACAGAATGAATAAGCCTACTTAGAGTACATGACCTTTATTAGGAACCTTAAAAACACTTCCTAAGATGCATTTCTAGAACTGGATGAACCTAATTTGGAAAACCAAGGATAATTCATAGCAGAGAAATCCTGCTTTCCTCCTCCATTCCTGCAACAGTGTAAAATGTGATAACCTTTCTTTTTGTTTGAAAGTTGTTATTGATATGCCTCAGGGACTCTGGACATTTGAGTGTATTTTCGGCCCAAATGAAATCTAGAAGTGTCAGATTTGTGAACTCCCATCATATTTTACAAGTCCAATTTAACTGTCTTTGTACTGACAATACTTGATATAAACTGCTATTGTTCTCTCTATACCATAAACAATGGATAAACTGCCCTTGAGGGTTTTATGACATTTATCTATGTAACTAACTATCATAAATAGAAAACTTGCATAGCTAATGCATATGCAGTGCAGTCTTTATTTTGTAAATATCTGTCTGGGGCAAAAATTCACATGCTTATATGATCTTCCATGTAGCAATTGAGAATATCACTTTTCTTTTTGGTTTCTTTTTTCTGTTTGTTTGCTTTCCACCCCCCCCCCCCTTAAAAAAATAAAAAGCTTAAAGGTATTCTGAAGTAATCTGTGAAGTATGTTTTTCAGAAGTGCAAGGAAAAAACATCTCCTACCCAAAACACATCACAGAAAATCATAGTCTAACAAACTCCCTTGAAACTTTTCTATATATTATTACAAATGAACATTATTTGTATAATAGAAGGATTTTCTTCTTAGTATACTGCAGAACTTTGGAGTAACAACACCTTCGAAGCCAGGCAAATGTTTTTATAACAATGATAATTAGACAATATTTGAATTATTATAAGTCTTCTGTGTTGGTGTGTGTATGTGCATGTATATATATTTCTTACATATATATATATATAGAGAGAAGATGAAAGAAACTCTACCCCCACAATGACCGAAATGGGAGATCTGGTAACAACTGACATGGAGAAAGTTGAGGTACTCAACAACTTTTTGCCTCAGTCTTCACCAGCAAGTGCCCCAGCCACACTGCCTGATTCACAAGGCAGGGGCTGAGAGTGTGAAGAACTGCCCACTGTAGGAGAAGATCAGGTTCGAGACCATCTAAAGGACCTGAAGTTGCACAAGTCCATGGGACTTGGTGAGATGCATTCGAGGGTCCTGAGGGAACTATCAGACAAAGTGGCTAAGCCACTATTCATCATATTGGAGAAGTCATGGCAGACAGTTCCCAGTGAGCAAAAAAGGGGAAACATAACCCCCATTTTTGTAAAGGGAAAAGAGGAAGACCTGAGGAACTACAGACCAGTCAGTTTCACCTCTGTGCCTGGCAAGATCATGGAGCAGATCCTCCTAGAAACTATGCTCAGGCACATGAAAAATAAGGAGTTGATTGGTGACAGCCAGCATGGTTTCACTAGGGGCAAATCAATGAATTTGATGGCCTTCTACAACGGAGTTACAGCCTTGATGCATAAGGGAAGAGCAAGTGATGTGGACTTGTGCAAAGAATTTGATACTGTTTCGCACAATATACTTGACTCTAAAATGGAGAGACATGGATTTGATGGGTGGATCACTCAGTGGGTAAGGAATTGGCTGGGTGATAACGCTCAAGGAGTTGTGGTCAACGGCTCGATGTCCAAGTGGAGACCAGTGACAAGTAGTGTTCTCCAGGGGTCCATACTGGGACAAGTATTTTTTAACATCTTTGTTGGGGACATGGACAGTGGGACTGAATGCACCCTCATCAAGTTTACAGATGACACCAAGCCGTATGGTGTGGTTGATACTCTAGAGGGAAGGGATGCCATCCAGAGCAACCTTGACAGGCTTGAGAGGTAGGCTCATGTGAACCTTATGAAGTTCAACAAGGCCAAGTGCAAGGTCCTGCACCTGTGTTGGGGCAATCCCAAACATCAATACAGGCTGGACAATGAGTGAATTGAGAGCAGCCCTGCAGAGAAGGACTTGGGGGTATCAGTGCATAAAAACCTGAACATGAGCCAGAAATATAGGCTCACAGCCCAGAAAGCCAACTATATCCTGCACTGCATCAAAAGAAGCATGGCCAGCAGATTGAGGGAAGTCATTCTCCCCCTCTACTCTGCTCTTGTGAGGCCTCAGCTCTGGGGTCCTCAGCATAAGAAAGACATGGACCTGCTCAAGCAGGTCCACAAAGGTGATCAGGGCGCTGGAGCACCTCCCTATAAGGACAGGCTGAGAGCGTTGGGATTGTTCAGCCTGGAGAAGAGAAGGCTCCAGGGAGACATTAGCGCAGCCTTCCAGTACCCAAAAGGGGCCTACAAGAAAGATGGGGAGGGTCTCTTTATCAGGGAGTGAAGTGATAGGATGAAGGGTAACAGTTTTAAATTGAATGAGTGTAGATTTAGATTAGATATTAGGAAGAAATTAGTCACGGTGATGGTGGTGAGGCACTGGAAGAGGTTGCCCAGAGAAGTTGTGGATGCCCCCTCCCTGGAAGTGTTCAAGGCCATGTTGGATGGGGCTTTGAGCAACCTTGTCTAGTGTAAGGTGGCCTTGCCCATGGCAGGGGGGTTGGAATCAGACAGTCTTGAAGGCCCCTTCCAACTCAAACCTTTCTATGATTCTATGATGCTATGGTATATTCATACATGTACATAAAGAAAGAAAATCCTACGTACATAAATAGGAGGGTATGCATTTATACCCACATGTGTGTGTGCATATGTATATTTAAGATAATGCCACAATTTCAGTAACTTATGGAAATTCCTGATGGGATTGCATACCAGCTAGTAGGTAGCAGTGATTGAAGTCAAATGGCTCCCTAAGTTGTGACATCCCAGTTGCTGTGCATGGGACTGTTCATGCAGTAGATTGTGCTCTAGAAAACAGGACCTGGAGCAGATAAAGCAATCTTGCAGGAGAAGTTCTACTCCCTTTAAAATTGATAGCAAAATGCTAACAAACCAGGGAGAACTGAAAAACAAAAAGGAGAGGAACGCTGTTCAGTAGAAATTGGTCTTCAGGGCAAGAAATTCTCTTCCAGCAGATAGGATCTAGGAAAGTAAGTACGTTGTGTAGAAGAATTTCAGGAAAAGAAGAAAGAAAGAAGGGGCTGCCCCTCTAATGGATAAATCTATACAGACATGTAACAGTCAATGACTCTATAGCAATTTATTGCAACTCCAGACTTCACCTGTCATAAATTGCTGATGGAATTTGTGTCACAGAAGGCTAACATGAGACCAAAAGGCGGATATAAGAGATTTTCTTCTACATCATTAAGACACGAGAGCCAATAACAGAGGCAGAAGCAGAGAGTTTGCCCATGCAGGTGCCTAACGGCTTCTCCATACGTGACAGTTTTACTATCTCAAGTGTAACAGCTTAAGTAACAAAAATATCAAAGCTGTGAATATAGTTGCAACTATGCAACATCTCAGTTTAAGAAACAAAAGTCTTAAGTAAGTATAATAAAGTTTTTTTGCCGTGTAGCCTCTATGTAAGAATGGAAGGTGGTAAAATGATAAAATAAACAAATAAACAAAAAAAAATTGTACTTGTCCTCTATATTGAAATTTCTAAGTTTTGACAACAAAGCCTTAAGACCTAGGCCTGTCTATGGTAAATACAGAATATGGTATTCAAACCAAATAAATAGAATTAAGCATGATGTTAATTGCTTGGATGATTTCAGTGTATATAAGACTGAATCGCTCAGAGCCAAGAGGAATAAAATGAAACAATTTTATATACTAGAGAATTACCCTCATCTTATGCCCGTTGCAACATCTTTATCCCAATTCTCCATATTCTGAGATGAAATGGGACTTTGCAATGTTTGTGACAATTGTTCTGTTAGCTATACCGACTTTCACTGAAGAAATACCTACATCCAGTATTTGAAGCAAGGGTGACTCTGCATTTAAAATGTATGACATATGTGTGTGTATATATACATATAACCTAAGAGCCATTTGTCCAGACCTCCCAAAAAATGATCTTTACTTGCTAGATAATCATAGATGAAGAAATATAAAAGTATGGGAAAGAAAGAAAGGAAAAAAAAAACCAAGAAAGAAGGAAATTGCTGCAAAACATCTACTATTCATATTTTCTGTCTCACAGTTAACGAAGCTTTTATTTAATATTTTGTTTGCTTGTTTTAGTTCGTTGGATAAGCATACCTGGAGAAACATGTAGAGCTTTCTGACTGAGATTTCCAAGGAAACAAGGTTTGTATAATAACACTATAATCATATAGACCTTTAGCCTGTGTCATTTCACTCTGTGCTTCATACTCTACCTATTTCCAAAAAAGTTTGAGTACATTGACCGAGTTAAAAAAATCCCAAGAAAAATTATGTTCATACAAATTGCTGAGAGCTGAGAGTTGGGTAAAGATGAGACTACTGAGGTATGACTGGGATGCATTTGCACTATATTTTATTTAGAAGCAGCTGGGTGGCCAACCTGTATGCATACAGGTCTAGAAAAGATGCAGCATCTGCCGTCATTTCCTAGCGAAGATGACAAAGGGACATGATGGAGAGGACACGGGACTGATATGTTGACAGTGCTGGTGATTCCAGAAAACAGAACACAAATCCACTGAATGGAAGGACTTGATTTTACTTAAGGCTTGTGTAAGACATAAGGAAAAGACACAAGTGAGACACAATTTCATTTGGTAGTTGTGAACTTATTAGCCAGATCCTTGAAGGTGTGTGAAAGAGAAAAAAATACTGGGGGATTTACTACTTTTTAAATGTCTCTCTGACAGCTGTCAAATGGAGTTCTTGAAAGTCTAAGGCGTTTGGCTTTTTAGTGCATTTGTTATATACAAGCAGCGCATTCATTACAGTTTTTGACATTAAGTTGTGTAACAACTGAATCCAATCCAGAAGAAATTTTGTCAAAAACTTAATTATATAAAATAATTGAACCAGCAGGTATCTGATATTCTTATTGACTGTGTATAAAAGAAACATACAACCTGTTTTGTAAAAATAATTTACTAACCACAGAACTTTCTGACAAGACTGGAAGCTGTATAAATAAACTAATAATAAAATAAGCTAGGAAGGAGATATTTGCATTTATAGCAATGAAGTTCTAATTTTATAATCATCTTAAATCAAGACTTATGAAAATGTAATGAAATCCAATTTACTGTTAATAGTTGTTTCATTTCTCTGAGAATAAACTTTTTCTTGCATTTCAATGAAGTACACTAATAATAAATAATTTAAGCAGCAAGGTACAACAGATAGTGTTATATATATTTTAAATGAAGCTCTTTCAGGAAAAAAAAAGTAATGGCTTGAAGAACAAAGCACTTCGGGAGGAAAGAAACAGTAAAAGCAGTTGTAGAGGAAACATAAAGTTTTCTAATGCTTTACTATTAAAAAATAAGTTGCTCACATTTTCATATAAGCATTGTGTTCTCTTAAATGTTGTCTTTGCCCTGAAGAAGCTCTGTGGCTGTGACCAGGACTGTCCCTCTGTCTGGCTCCTGAGGGCACTGCAGGACCCACTGTCCCTGTCCCCCTGACCCCCACCCTGCCCATGGCCCAGGACCCCATTTCAGCCCCTGGGGCCATCAGCCCCTGACCCAGCAATGCCGCAGCAGGGCCAATCTCCAGTTTTCCACATCCTGGCCCATCCTTGGCCCATCCCGATGGAGGTTCCCAATGTCCAGAGTTGAGGCTTCCCTGGTGCCCCCCGGCTACCTGGCTCCTGGCTGGGGTGGTGGAACCGGCCATGGCTGACTCCAGGGAGCCTCCAATGCTTCCACTCCCCAGCCCACGGGGAGTAGCTGGACCATGTGGCACCCTGACTACATGCTTAGTTGACTTGGAAACTCAAATTAGAAATGACAGATACCCCTGTGGACTTTCCTTCCTGCATCATTACTGAGAATCATTACTCTATTTGGTTTAGTTGCCAAGTGAAGACATTTGTGAGTCATTTCTTTTTACCAGAGCTCACCCCTAGAAAAACTCTTCTGTTCTGATAAAGGTAAGAATTTTTAGTAACGTTTCTTTTTGCATGGTTCTTCCACTACTCTATTTTTCAGTTGATATGAGGATGGATTGAGATAGGTACCATCAATTTGCTTTCAGTGTGGTAGTAGTATGTAAATGACCTCAGAAATCAGGATAAAGCATAACCTTGAAAGGCACCCTAACCACTGAAAAAATCGAAGATATCTGGAAAATTCAGTGAATCCCTCATCCTATTGGAAATGTATCTTTAAAGACATTTCTTATAAATCTAATTTGCACGTGTTTCTTCACAGGGTGACGTGCAGTTTGGTATGTCCAATAAAAAAACAGCATCTGTTTTTTTTGTTTCAAGATAGCGAAATGCTGAATGGAAACATATACACTATGTTTAGGTGATACAAATCATGATCATACAATTTATTTGTTTTTTTTTTCCTCTTATCTGGTTTAAGCAAAAAATTGATTTTTTTAAAATTGTAAGTGGTGCTCAAAAGGGTGTTTAAAACTGTATGTGACAACATTTACAGTCTTACGTCAGAACCTTGTGATATTTTTTTATCAGATAGGTTCTTAAGATGTACAAATGTTGATCACTCTCTCTTCAGCTGACCACACATCAATGAGACTGGACTCAGCTGAAATAAAATCGTAGGTAACATTTCAGCTTTAAGAAGTGCAAGTGGTTTGAGGCTTGTCACAAAGCAACTGTGGAATCAAACTGTTTTTTTCATCATCCAAAAGCAACACTGGTATTCCTGTAACCCTTTAGCTGCTCTGATATTGCAGGGGCATGTGGATATCCCAGCATTTAAAGCTTTTTATACATTCAAGTTATTTTCCAGTCATACGCAGATCTATGTTTTGATCCTGACAAAATTCCTTTTTAAACTCTAATGTTTCTCTATATGTGTATCCCAAAAATAAATATATAGTCATAATCTGGGGGAGAAGGTGGATTTATGTATGTTTGAATGCATGGCAAAGAAAAACTGTTTTCCATCTGTAAGTCAGTGAACAGATCACTCGGCGCAAATGACGCGGGTTTTGCCATGTACAACTGGAAACAGTCAAACGTGCCATCCTTAGTAGCACTGGACATACAGCTGGCAGAGGGAAGAC